CTCCCCTCCCCTCTGCCACCTTCCCCCATGACAGAGTCCCAGCACTGTCTCATTACTCCAGTGTCACCTTCGTGCTTCCAAGTGACGTACGGACACCATTTCTGGTCCCCTCACCTCGGGACACCACCGTGGAACAGGAGGATTTTTCTCACCACTGTTCATTCCCTCCCACCTCCCAACCTCTGACGGGCTCTTTTTATGGTTTTTAGCTCCTGTCTGCGGCTAAGTTTTTCCAGCTGGAGGCTCTGCAGCGACACTGTGAGATTATCTGTGCCAAAGGCATCAACACGGACAACTGCGTGGATATTTACAACCACGCCAAGGTAACGAGCCCACTCCCTGCGCGGGCTCACGGTGCACTCGGGGCGAGGCCAGACAGGCGGGGAGCTGGGCCTGCACCCGCCCAAGGTCTGGAAGAGTCACCTTTCCTTTCATTCCCCCCCCATTACGATGAAAGCAGGATCCCAGAAGTTCCCGAGGCAGAGTGGCTCTCCCACAGGGCTCCTGATGTGCGCAGGAGCTGCGTCGCGGCCTGGTCCACCCCACCGCCTCCCGGGTGGCCCCCGGGCTCAGCCTTTGTAACCAGCTCCTGGGGAAGCCGCCACTCTGGGCAGAGCCGCACCGAGTAGCAAGGCTCTGGAACTGAGGTCCTCAGAGTGTGGGCTCCAATCCAGCACCATCAGGGTGCTCGTTAGAAATGTAAATTGTGGAGCCCCACCCCAGACGGACAGCACAGGCTGCACAGAATCACCGGGCGCTCACCTAAAATCCCTGGGCCTGGGACCTGTCAGAGCAATCAAATCCACCTGTGCAGGTGGAGCCCCGAAAAAGGGTTTTTTCCAAGTTTCCCTTGTGATTCTCACGTGGCCAATGTTGAGAACAGGTTGTCAGGACTGGAGAGATCCATGGACATGTGGATCGGACACTACTAATCAGAATCACGTGAAGAGAGTCTAAATCTGTTTACAACACCTCCCTAAGGCCACAGCAGTGTCCCTGCCGTGGGGCCCAGGAATCTGTATTTTTAAGAAGCTCCCAGGGTGACTCTTGAGACTTCAGCCCTAGGGCCAGTCTTCACTGCAGTTTTCGGGAGCCACTGATTTTTATCTAGTTCATTTCACAGGTGGGGATCCTGGGACCAAAAGGATTAATTAGTCCAGGTGCCGCTTCCTTTTGTTTCATGTGCTCAGGACAGGGGATTAACATTTGCTAGGAAGGAGTAATGAGCTAAGATCAGGAATTAATTAAAAACAAACAAAAAACTTTTGTATAACTGGAGCTTGGTGCCCTTGCCTCTGACATCCACAGCTCTGCAGAGTGAATAACTGATGTGAATAATTCCCTTGTTGCTTGTTGAGAAAAATCAGGTTGCCTTTGAGATGTTATTTTCTGTCTTAAACCAACATTCAGCTACTCCTTTTAATGTGCAGGCACCTGCGCTAACGCATGCATACACACACACACGCACATGCTGGGCGTTTTGGTTAAGTGACGGTTTTACTGAAATCTGGTCTCTCGGGACACAGCTTTTTTTTTTTTTTCCAATCTTAAACTGATTACTTTGCAGAAAAGCATCCAGAAAGACTCTCTCTACCCAGGAAGAGAGCCTGGTCAGTCTGTGATCCCCCCCCCCCAGTCATGGA